TGCATACTTTCCGCTGTGGAGTGAATAACCTGTCTTTATAAACAGCCGTCGTTTTATTCCAACTACATTTGGAGGGGTCTGGCCTCGGTTTTCACGGTTTTCAATGAATTCATACAATATCTCTACTCCTCTGCATGAAGTTCTTAGTAGTAAGCGGAGACTTAGTCTTTGGGGGGAATTGAGGACAACATGGTCTCACTTTTCCAGAACATTTATCAAACATTAATTGATAAATAAACAAAAATTAAATAGTAAACGGAATACGTGGTCTGACATCACAAACACAACGTTATCCGAGCTTCCAGACAACCATAATCTTAACATTCAGGAGAAAATCGAAGCTCAATCTCCAAGAATTGCCGTCGAGCAGCACATCCTGCTCGAGGGCGTCTATACTCAAGCAATCAAAATATACCAGTGGCAGACTACTTGAAGATTTACATGAAGTTAGACATGTTATACAAGTTTACGCGTAGAAATAAAAATGGTGCCGATACTCATTTAACGGGCGGAGGTTAAGTAGTTAAAGGATTAAGCAATTAATTGTATTAGCTTTGTATGAATAGTTACGGCATAGGCATAAAAACGCATTGCCAAATATGGTTTTATTGCCGTAGAATCAAACGAATGATACACAGAAATACGTCATATGAACGTGAGGCCACACGCATTACATAGTTTATATAGCAGTATTTCTAATGTCGATCTGGAGACATTGGCTGAAACGAAACGTTCTGTGGTCCAAGGGAGGTAACTCCAAGTTACTTTTAATCATCTGATATTGTGTATAGATTGGTTTACGGACGCAATGTGACACATGAATAGTTGTAATTCACAATCATAAATATTGAATTTGCATATTTGTATTAATTCAAGTCTGGGCGGGTGAGGTCAACATAAACAGAATTACGTCTGAATTATTCTGAAGCCCAAACCAAAGAACTTCGCCACAAAGAATCACTAAAAAATGTGAGATCGTCGATAAACCGCCATTTGCGATACATTGTCAGATACGTTGATATTGTTAGTGACAAACAGTTTAGACCAACCAATGACCACCATGGGAAACTAAAATTCATTGCTGAAAATAGGCTGTCGCGACCAACGGAACATACACTCTTCAAAAAAGAAACGCACAGGTAGTATGGCGTTTATTGAACCTGACTACACAAACCATCTGGTATATAAATTGGATATATGCTATTGGAAAATGTTGATGGCCTGATATTCGACAAACGGTGCGTCAAAACGCAGCCATTGTCGATATCCAATGTCTTAAACGGCGTTGTTTTCACATTTGATCAAAAGTCGTCATGGAGGAAAACAGTAAAGCAAAATGCACGTGCACGTTATGGCATTCGTAACTCGGCAAAATAAGCCAATAATTTGTCATTCAATTGTCAACATTTTTTTCAACTTCGAAAATGCCGAGACTCAGCGCTGCCGATCGGAACATCGCCATAGGACGTATCAAAAGAGGGGAATCGCAGTCTTCTGTTGCACGCCACTTCAACGCCCACCACAATACCATTTGCCGCCTTTGGGCCCGATACACACAGTTCAATTCCACTGCAAACCGTCCGAGAACAGGCCGACCAAGAGTTGCCACCCCTGCACAGGATCGCTTTATTCGACTGTTCAACCTACGTCATCGCAATGTCACAGCTGCGGAGACCGCAGGACGCATCACTGGTTTGAGGAGGATATCGGACCAGACGGTCAGGAACCATCTTCGCGAGTCTGGAATCCGACCCAGAAGACCAGTTTCGTCCCTGCAACAGATCCGTCGACAGCGACGCTTGCGTTGGTGCCATACCTTACATCCTTGGAATTTGAGAAACTGGAGACGAGTGTGGTTTAGCGATGAATCACGATTTCGTCTTCACCGGCGAGATGGAAGACAACGTGTTATCGTCGTCGAAATGAGCGTCTTGCCCCACATTGTGTACGTGATTTCGACAATGTCGGTGGCGTTAGTGTCATGGTGTGGGGGCGGGGGGCCACATTCTACACCACGAGATCTGACTTGGTTGTGGTTCAGGTAGATTTGACAGCAAATCGCTACATGAATCAAATTCTTCAACCTCACATTCACCAATCATTGACCACAAAAGGGAGCTGTCAACAGGACAACGCCCCGCCGCACACAGCTCGTGTCACGGTAGAGTCCTACCATAATGCCAACATCAACGTTTTGCTCTGACCATCGAGATCTCAAGATCTCAACCGAATCGAACACCTCTTGGATGAACTCTATGTACGTGAACGTCAGAAGACGCCGCAGACACCCCCACAACTGGCCAACGCGTTACAAGCAGAACTTACAAAATTCGTCAACTTATCCATCCACAGTGCCAAGGAGATGCAGGGCCGTAATTGCTGCCCGTGGCGGTCACACGAGATACTGAGTTCAGCGCAACCTTGTGGCCTAATGTGACATGACAATGAACAGTTTTCAATGCCTTTGTACAAGGACAACATGTGACTATAGAGCTCCAAAATTTCATATTTGTATCTATGATACTAAATGAAAAATATCGACTTTATTAGGTACAATATATTTACTAAAAGTCTACCCGTGCGTTTCTTGTTTTGAAGAGTGTAAAGATATAATCCCACCGGCATATTTACAACACATACCTTCATTCAACCAAATATCCAGTTATCCTCCGGTACCATCCATATCACAATGGGCATAACATTTCACAAACAACACTAAACAAGAATTCACTCCTCTTCAGAATCGACGAGACTAGTGACGAGTATGCACTCTGACTCTGAAACAGAAATATTGTCCGTGTGATTCTTCGAAGTGATGAAGCAGCATCAGATCAGCTGATGTACACTACCGGCAATGTCATTGCTTGCCCGTCGAGCCCCTGCGCCTTTTTTTGTCAATAAAACATAATCCATCTGCCGAACTACTGTTTACCCACTGTCAAAAGAGGCAATTGCAAAGTCAAATCTTGAAAACACTTGATACTCTGACATACAATGCAGGTTGTACACTGAACACCGAGCCACAAGCATTCAAACAATGAGTAATGCTGATTTACACAAATCACTGACTGTGTCCCATTTAGATATACACAAATCACTGACTTTGTCCCATGTAGACCTACACATATCACTCAATGTCCAATTAAGATCTCCATAATTAACTGACAATGGCCCATTTATATCTACATAAATCACTGACTATATATGTTCCGTTTCCACACAAATCATACATTCTAATACTAACAACCTGTCACATGACATGTCATTCGGTGGAAAATTCAAGCGACTTGTCACACATACAGACTAAATAGGTCTTCAGCAACCCATGCTTGCCGTAAACGGCGACTATGCCTGTCGTAAGAGGCGACTAAGTGGATCGGTTGGTCAGGCTCGCTGACATCCTCGCTAATTTCGTGGATCGATGCTACATTCTCTGGTCCAGACTCGATTATTTACAGACCGCCGTCATACAGCTGGAATGATGCTGACTGCGGCGTTAAACAACCAACCAATCAACCAACCAACCAACCAACCAACCAACCAACCTAGTGATGAAAGGTTCATCAACAAATGAAATTTTGCTTGCCTGTGTGCAATTGCAAGGGATTCACATCATGACATTATCCCGTGAGCGGGCAGCTAATCCGTTTGTCCGTATTATAAAATATGTATGTGAATAACTAATTACTTGCTTTTAATGTGGTGTGATGCTTTATCAATACAGATTATTGAAGGCACTGACCAGGAAGTTAAAATACCGTAAAATACTGGCTATTATGCACAACCACCACTAGCTAAAGTGATGACGTAAATCCTGTTTGGGTATCCTGCACCGTGCTGAGGCACTGTAAGTCCCCATGATCCCTAGCGAGGTGGCCTAGTCGCTATATGGCTGAAACAATGACATGAACGTTCATATGTATTAGCCTGATGAGCATTACCAATAGTTTGCTTGTCAGAAACGCTCCAGGTTCGTAATCCCTCCTGAGACGTTACGTCGTTTCAAAGCAGACGCAGCTGATTTTGTTGAGGGATTTATAACCATGGATGAGTCTTGGAATCTCCACTATCGGTTGGTTGGTTGGTTGGTTTGTTGTTTAACGCCGCATTCAGCAATATTCCAGCTATATGACGGCGGTCTGTAAATAATCGAGTCTGGACCAGACAATCCAGTGATTAATATCATGAGCATCGATCCACGCAATTGGGATCGATGACATGCATCAACCATGTCAGCGAGCCTGACCACCCGATCCCGTTAGTCACCTTTTACGACAAGCATAGTCACCTTTTACGGCAAGTATGGGTTGCTGACGACCTATTCTACCTCGGAATCTTCACGGGACCAACTATAGGACAGAGACTCAACAACAGTCAAAGCAGTAGAAAGTCAAACGTATCCTCCTCCTCCGAAGGAAAATCCTGTTCCATATGTATACATTTTACACTTATTCCGTATAATATTTTAACAAGCAAACACATCAATTTATTCATTTGTTGGTTTGACGTGATTTTCTTGTCGGATTGAATCCTCTATGATTCTCGGTTCATACAAGCGATAGACCGAATGACATCAAATATGTCTTTAGAACGAACTGAATCAGACAGGTTGAATAATATCATACTTTTTATAATACTTTCGGACATCCTAAATATTATGCTCTGCATACAACATAAAACAAAAGAATTGATTAGTTATGTATACGTGTACATAATACATTTATACCAGTCCTTCCGTGAGAAAACAGTAAACTGTGATGTTCTTGTGTATTATTTATATCCTTGAATGACAAATAACTAAGCTCATGTGAGTGAGTGAGTGAGTAAGTGAGTGTTCATTTTAAATGCCTTCATTTGAAGAAGCGGAACAATTTTGTACTTACTTAAGGTGAGTGAGTGATTAAGTAAGTGACTTAGTGAGTGCGCAGGTGAGTGGGTGAGTGAGTGAGAGCGTGCGCGCGCGCGTGCGTGCGTGCGTGCGTGTTTGCGTAAGTTTTGGCTCTCGCAGCTATTAGCAAAAATAACTGTTCATTTCAATGCCTGAAACCACACTGTTCATTTGAAGAAGCAGAAGAATATTAAACTTAGTAAAGGGGATTGCGTGCGCTAGTGAGTGAGAGAGTGATGGTTGTCGCCACTGTTAGCTATATTCCGGCAACATGATGGCGGTGGAATTTGAAAGGCTCCACAAGTTGCATCTATATGGCGGAATCGAGCCCGGTCAGTCATGCACGACTGTGTTTACCACTAGGCTACGCCACCGACCTACACGTGGATATAAGTTGGACGTCGTGCTTTGTAAAAGCCAGCTCTCATTGATTGAGAAAAATTGCTGAGTCAGTGGGAACACTCTTTCCTGACACAACGTGTAATGTTTGCTCAATAACTGGGACTAAAAGATAGGGTTGAATTTAGATATCTAGGTCGCTAACTGGGCTGCTGTCAACATGCAAGCGTTGTGGACAATACGTGTTGTGGACCGTAAAATGTGTTTATTGGCAAACATATATTCATTTGATTAACTGTGTGCAAGTATAATGGTCAAATAGGTTGTAATTGTGAGGAAAGCGTGTTTTTCTATTAAAAATGACCCGAAACGTGACGTTTCACTTTCACATATGTGAACATGTATTTGAGCATGTGTTCAAGGAGGTACACTTGATCTCATGTTTCAACAGATAGCGCCCTCTACCAACCACCTGGATACAAGCCACGCGGACTGCTATTGTTAATCATACATTTGCATATTAATACGCTCAAAGTTACACGTCAAAATAACACCGGATTTTTTTTCTGTGGAAACACAACCAAATGGCTTCGTCATGTAGGTCCTGATAAGGCCTCGAAATACAACTGTTGGCAACTGTTGGAGGGTGTATTCATTAGGAACTTGTACCTTGGTCTCCTCCGTAGTGGGTGAGTTTTAACGTTATTGTCCAGTTTTACACTCTCCTCTTGTCTGTAAATCACTTTATTCCTGACGGACATATTACATGAAACGAACGTTAGGGAATTGTTGGTTTCGTGTTGCATTCAGCAATATTTCAGCTGTAGGTCGGCGTTGTGGAAATAATCGGGTCTGGACCAGACAATCCAAAGACTGAGATCATGACCATCACCTGCTTGCGCGGGGGGACGGGAGGGGGGGGGGGGGGGGGGGGGGGGTTGAATGACTCGGTCAAAACATTTGGAGTTCATTCGCCTTTTATCGCCTGCATTAACTCAGGTCAACATGTTTGTCCTCGGTCGGCGCGCCCTGAATGCATACCGTATCTTCGTTGTGAGGTTTGTGAACGGGGAAAGAGATTGCAGAACCATCGTGTAGTAGCTGAGAGCAGTTGTGGAGACATTTATGCCAGCCAGTAACATGTTTTTTATCGTCGTAGTGAGACATTGCCTGACATAGTTAATTTATAATATTCTAGTTTCATTGTAGGTGTCACTTAATACAGTGAGATGTATTATTCTTTCCAATTGCAAGCCAAACTCTTGTGTTACCTGACATCGTATTTTCAATGTAACAATTGATATCATTAGAATAGTGATAAGTTTAGTATAATAAAGTGATCCTTGGCTTGTAACCTACTTCGGTAACTATTTAATTATCTATATTCACTGCAAATCTTGTTTCTAGACACTATCACCAGCGATTAAAATGTCGCAGGATGGAAGAGGACAGATGGAATCAGTTCTTGATGACGACAAAAGTAATTTCAAAACAAAGTCAGGAGAAGACTCATCGGATGGAAATAATAAACACATTCCACTGTCTTCAGCGACAAAAGGGGATGATTCAGGAGATGTTGAGGATAGACTGTTGGGGGGTGGAGGTGACGGAGGTGATGGTGGAGCAGTGGAAGGTAGTGCACAACCTGAAGAAGATGACGGTCTTCCCATCGACCACGGTTGGGCGTGGGTGGTATTAGCAGGTGACCTTAAGTACACACACCTTCGTATTAAAGGATGGTAAAATGATAAGTCTGAATTTAACGCGAATGGTGACATGTCTCTATGATATGATAATGATAGGTAAGAGAACTGAGGTAATGCTTAATTTCGTTATGCAGCAGAATCGGTAAAGCATTTATTTGTTTGAAGAAATATTTTGTTTTACTCATGAAGTCCTACTATTTCAGGTAGTGTTCTGAATGTGTTTATGATGGTGGGATATGGCAAAGCCATCGCCATATTCTTTGTGGCGTACCTGAAGGAATTCGAGGCATCTGCTGCAACAACAACTCTATTCATGGGAGTTATGGCAGGAACGTTCAGCTTATCGTGTATGTAATTTATTCACTTAGAGACCGATCATTTCATTTTACCAAAAGGAAATTGTATTAACTGGACATGGTGATTGTACTGAAGAAACAGTATTGTGAAAATATGTTCAAGAGAAAAGAATTGAATGTTTTGAAGTGGTGATCTAAAAGATATTCTGTCTCTCACAAAAACTCCCAGTTGCCTTCCAACATCCCCTTGACATCAACTGTAGAATTGACTCCTCACAAGGCTTTAAATTCCCCCTAATGATACAATATAAGTTCATTCGATGAGTGTGATTTCATAATCAAGGCATCATTTTCAGTTTGGGTTGTGAGTATGGTAAATCACATTTAAGAAATAATATAGCAAGTTGTTCAATGCATGTGTTCTGATGCCATGTGGTGTGTTACATCCGTAAATTGAATATTTCAAAACAGTTTTATAATTAGATCATATACAATAATTGCTAATTTCGTAATCAAAGTAATAACAACTGACATGCAATATTTTGAATGCGTACATTTTATCAAAAGACTATATTCTATTTGGCTACCTGGCCAAATTGTGTTTTTACAGCACTCTTTTCCATGAACGTGATTCTACAATTGATTGGAGAGAGGAAAACTGTTATCATCGGTGGGACAATAGCAGTTATAGGAATGCTGACAGCCGTGTTCGCTACCAGTATTACATACCTAATCTGCACACACAGCATTCTCATTGGTGGGTACATAATGAAATTAAATAATAGTTAATAGTAAAGGGCATATTTTTTATTAGAATACCGGTTAGAAATTCCAACATCTGAGGTAAACGGATGGAGAGTTGATCAATTGTTTTGCATTAGCAGTGGTAACATATGGCCAGTATATGTTTTTACTACAAGACATAATTTGTTTAGAGAGCAGTTTTGTTTGAGTTATTGACACAGAGTTCGTGGTTTAGTTCCTGGTAGTTTGGTGAATACAATAAACTAAGTTTTCAAGTTTTATGGATTTCATTTTAGGTATAGGTCATTCCATGATTCACGGCCCCGCACTGGTACTGATCGGAAAGTACTTCAAGAAGAGAAGAGCCATTGCAACAGCAGTTGCCATGTCTGGCATCAGTTTGGGGGGCAGTGTCTTCCCACCTCTAGCCAACTTCCTACTGAATGAATATGGAGTCAGAGGAAGTATGTTGATCCTCACAGGGCTGACAATGAACGTGTGGGTCGGGGCAGCCCTGTTTAGACCATTAAGTTATTTTCAAAAGAAGGCAGCAAAGAACAGATCAGTCATGAATAAAGAACATGGAGATGGAGATGATGATGTTGCTAAAGACTCTTCTGTAAAGATGGCTGTTGATGACTCTGGTGGAAACAATGCAGGGCTCTGTGACAGTCAAATGGACACAGACAAAGAAAAGGTTGTTAATAAAAGAAACAGACCTGATTCGGCTATTAGCTTTGGATCACAAATAGATGAACATTCCGAATGTCAACTAAGAATGTATAAAAGCAACCCTGATTTGACATCAATGTCATTGGTGGATATACGAGAGGTTCATCCACAATATGCTGACGATCAACAAGAAACACGGCTACACAAAAGTGCGTGCATGCATGTTAAACAAGCTTTCGCAGCATTTGACTTTTCCTTGTTCAAACAACCAATGTTTCAGCTGATTGCAGCATTTTCTCATTTTGGTATAGTGTTTACATTAGCAGGAGCATACCTTCCTGTCCTAGCAAATGAAAAAGGCATTCCACCAACAGAGGCAGCCTTTTTGTTGACTATTGCAGGTGTGCTTGATTTCTGCGGTAGACTTGCACTCGGATTCGTGGCTGATCTCAAATACATCAAAATCAATCATTTGATGGCTATTGGAATAGTAATATCTGGAACAGTGGCTCAATTCGCCTCTTTTTACAACACGTACGCACTTTTCATCGTATTCTCCGTGCTTGCCGGGATATTTGGCAGTTTTTATAATTGCCTGATTCCTATTGCCATTGTTGAGTTTATGGGACTGAAACACATGGCCAAAGTTCTTGGATTTATATCTGTGTTTCATGGACTTGCCATGTGTCTAACACATCCAATCATGGGTAAGTCTTCCAGCCACTTTGCATCTAATGTACAAATGATTATTTCCGCATTCATATATCAGGTGTCATTTATATTGTAGATGATGCATTTCTGTGTGAATAAGACTTTCATTAATACATTCAATGCTAAATTGTTTAAAAAATGATCATGCGTTTATAACATACAGGAAACTGTGGGTGTGCAAACATTTCAACTTAAAGAATGTTTGGTTTATCGAAATATTATAATGTTAGTTTAGAGGTTAATGCTAATCAGTTGATAATTTATAATGATCGAGTATAGTCATGCGTTTTTTACCAATAGTCCAGCACGATCACGGCAGGGATCATCAGAACTAACTTCACACATTGTATTCATGTTGGGAACGAACGGCGTTAACGCTTTAACTACCAGGCTATCGCTCCATCCTAATAAGTTATAAGTCAGATTGATCATGTGATTTGCATGTATGATGTATTGATACGTTTTATGTTTCCTGTAACCAGTAAGTAATCGATTTTAAAAGCAACTGCTTGGTTTCGCGTCTTCACAGATACTGCAACTTAATTTGTGATCAGAAATAGCAAATTATAAGATATATAGTTATATAATTTGAAATATTTCACTTTTTGACTAAAATTCTAAGAAAATGTTTGAAAACATTACTCATGCTAAAACATTTCTTGCAGGGGCAATCCGTGACCTGACTGGCTCGTACAACTTGTGCTTTAACTATATTGGAATATGCAACTATATCTGTGCCATATTGCTTCTGTGCATACCACTAGTCACAAAGAAGACACCAACGACACCAAAAGCAAAGGAATTGGAAGAAGGCCAACCACTGAAAAATGACTGAGATTGAATATTTTAAGAGTGGTTAGTGTGTGTCCATTCATCGAAATACTAGTACACATTCGTGTATAGAGTTGTGCAGCCACTGGTGTGTTGTGTTTGTGTACCGCAACATATTGGAACAATGTCGTAAACATTGTGTATAAAATAGACATGTGTCGTTTTGTTTTTCGTGTGGACCATTGGAAACACCAAAAGATTATTTTCTGAAGACCGAAAAGTGAAGCGATTGTGATCCTCCCACGTTATGTTAAATTCTACCTGCGAATAGATAAGAAATTGATTACAGATATCATGTATTAGAAATGTAAATGTATTATGCGAGCCTTATGATATTTACGATACGTAAACATACAAGAGTAATAATATCCTTATCGTTGTTTAAGACATAATTTCACTGACTGAAGTAATGTTAGAAACCGCGAATATGATATTTGAGTGAACCGCCCATTTATCATATTGTGCCTTAATGATTAGCAGCCCTGTTTGTCAACAGAAACACCAATATACGGGAAAGACTGCTTTGAACAATAGTTCAGTTATCAGCCTAATATGGAAGAGAAGTGACCTTTGTAGACGCCTACCAATCAGGAGAAACCTACGAAGGGCTCATATATGGTGGTGACAACCAAGTATCGCATGGGAGAAGTTTGGATTCGATAATACGGGCCGCTACTCTACATTGCGAATTATACTCCACCGGTCTGCCCGCGTCCTCTCTGAAAGCAGACACGTTGTGGACAAAGCAATAAAACTTGCTTCATTCACACGATCGAATATCAGGGTAGATAACAGATCTAGTGATGTAGGTCAGTTGTACGACGCGGCACAGAATTCCCTCTACGTCTCTTGCCTGTACGGGTATGTGCAATGTCAAGGAGATTAGCAGGTCAAGGGCAGCAGGGTGACCTCGTCAGTACATACCGGCTATGTCATCCCGTCTTGAAGAGAAAGCAGCTGGAGAGGAATTATTAGTGTTCATTCAAGCCACTGATGTTATAATCGTAAATGATTTAATGTATTTGATATTTAATAAGTTCGTTTTTTAACAATGTTTGACACTGAGTTTGCGAGGTAACGCAAAGAGATAATTTTTGAAGTTCACTATTTCTTAGAAACTGAAAAACCTGTTGTGTGACTGTACAATCGGGGCCGTTCGTCTGGGGCTGCTTGTGTCTTGCAAATATAACGCTCACGACTCGATTTATAGTCTATGGTTCTGTCATGTGAGTTTGCGACTATTGATATTTGCTGACATAAGTAGCTATCATAGGTTCGTGTTAATGTATGGGTGGAGCTAAAGTGAAACAGGGTCCTAAGGTGTTATTGCCAAGCGATTCGATCATTTAACACCGTTTCTTTATGCATGTATACCACAGTATAAATAGTATAGGACAAGGCTGTATATCACGTTATGATGATACTCCTTTTTAACATTTGTAAAGAAGAAATGAAAATAGTTTTATTGAATGAATCGCTATTGATATTACGAGATCGAATCGATAACCCACTAACGAACCCACACGATATAAAATGTATTATTAGTTCTGAAAAGCAAATGACAATATTTTCATTTTTTGTTTGTTTCATCTTCTTCTATATATTCCTGTTCACACAACAACACGTTTAGTTTTCTAAAGGTATTTAAACGTGCCGGAAATCTATTATCGTGGGTTCGAGTCCCAAATTCATCATGATTATGTTCGAGGTTTGTCTGCACCATGCCCGTGCTCGTGGTGGTCAACGTCTATAATCTGCATCACTTCGAGCTTCCCGTTAAATTAAGCTGACACGCTGTCATATAAATGTACAAAGCATTGTTAAACCGAACTCATTCATGTTTCTTCTTTGAAGGTGTAAGAAACGGTGATGAATGAATGTGTGAATGGTGTTTTACGCCGCAGCCATATTCAAGCTATATCATTGTGTCATTGAAGCAGGCTGAAAGTAGTTCTGGCCTAAAGTATTAATTAACTCAATTGAAGTGTTAACGGTATTTCTTTCCGATAAATAAAGTATTCATCACTAGATACACAATACAAACTGATATGTCATAATCGATGAGACATAAATTTAAGAGTAAGAAGTAGCCGATGCATTATTTACTGAGTTGAGGGAAAGTCATTTGTACAAAAGATGCAGATAGCTTGGGAGATCGGTGAACTATGACATGCAATGGTAGCAAACGTGTTTATTTCAGTCAATCAATCGGGACGGCCTTCGGAATGCAAAACATGAGCGTCATGTGTATTCAGTCTCACTGTTTACCTACTGTACGAAATATTGATTTTAAACAAACATTTCGGTCTCTTATCTTAAGACACATCAAGTTCGCACAGTGCAGTGTCCCTGCTAATCTCGTAGTGTGTTTACTAGCCTATGGTTTATTGTTATATTGCATGGGGGGGGAGGGCATAATGTCCATATTCATTTTTAGCGCTAATGTTTTCATCCACGATGATATCGATTGTTGTATTGCTGAATGGAAAAGGTCTTTATCCACCTTGACACTTTCACTCTTATTCTACAATCAAACATTACTCTTTGATATTCAAAGCATCATATTACTTTAGAAGCAAGATCTACAGTGAACTGATACTTTTGTATTGATAGCAATTGATTACTTGAGATATATGCACATGATTGTGAATATAATGTGAAATTTGAACGTTTTAATATCATACAATACATGTTAAATTAAACTGTGGACATGGACCCGGAGAGAGATAAATCAGTATGAAATCATATACTAAATCTAAGCCATGGATGACCATGTTAGCAGTGCCGAGTTGCGTCCCTTTGGCGACGGGATGCACTGATCGTAGGTTCGAATCCCAATTAGTATTACTGGTCAGCGTATGTTTTAAGACGGATGACGGATTTAGGCATAGTTGGAGTAATGGCAACTGTATCCCAAATAATATCATGTAATTATCGGTGTAACTTTATGACGGCGACTCTGTGCTTCTGGTTTTACAAGAAGTTGGACCGCCTCCGTGGTCTAGTAGTACAGCGTCTGCCCGAAGAGCGGAAGGTTCGGGGTTCGATCCCTGACCGCGTCATCCCAAAGTACGATAAAATATGGTACTTGTTGTTACCCTGCCGAGCTCTCGGCATTAAGGGGCTAAAATGGGTTGGCTCGGAGTCAGTATACTGGTTCTGAGTAGGGTATTCATGTTAAACTGCGACATGGAATCTCAGTGTACCAGCACCATAAATCGGCATACGTCCAGCCAAGTACATGCAGCCACACACACACACACACACACACACACACACACACACACACACACACACACACACACACACAGACACAAACACACACACACACACAAACACACACACACACACATATATATATATATATATACACACACAGACACAAACACACACACACACACACACACACACACATATATATATACATACACACACACACACACATACACACGCATGCATGCACGACATTATATAAGTGCAATAATCCTGAACGCGACGTTGTGTCGGCCAGGGTTGTATTGTTTATTGGTAATTACAACAAGTAAACCGCACAAGTAGAGAAGTAGTCACGATGAATTCTATACCCAAATCATTGTGTGGCTTCAGTTAAGTTCTCTTGTAAACGCTTAAGCGTTTTTGTATCATTTCAAAAATAAATTTGCGTGACAAACAAATGTGAAATTACATTTTATTGTCGCACCCTACCGATTCTATTTCCAAGGGTTTTCTATTATTTGTCCGACCACCGATAACAAAGCCTATATAGACATTAATGTGTATTTATTATATTTCTTTGGACGTTACCTACAATAAGAACATTGAATGCCCTCAATAACACGAATTCAGTTCATTTTAATGTCATTGGGATGATAAAGAGTTAAAACATTCAAACACTCACAACAGGTGAATATTTATACTTCTGGACACCAAACCAGTAAAATGCCTGGAAAAGATAAATTTCCCATTACAGTTCAGTTGTTTGCTGCAAGGGTTTGATTTCCTCTTTATTTTCGTTTAAAGTTTTTTCATTAAGATGCCTCGTAACATGTCTTGTTAGTAGTGGTACACACAACAGAACGATTGCTGATGTATATGCACATGCACCAAGATAGTTGAAGCCTGCAGTATACGAACCAGTGCAATCTGTGAGACTACCTGTAAGAAGAAAATACAATGCATCATATAATCGGTGGTTGATGATTATTATAATAACTGGGACTTCTCGAAGTCGATATGTCATTAACAAAAATGTAATGGTAATTCTTATTGCCACAATTGTTTAATATATGTTTCTCTCGAACTACGGATTACTGGATCTCTTTTTTTCATGCTTATGACGAGTTACAAGGCGTCACTGTAAATACACAAATAAATGACAGTTATCATTCCTCATTCTATGTGTAAAGCTAATGACTTTACAGTTGTATATGCATTAAATATTTGTACACCATATCGACCATGTTATACTTACCTACGATAGGGTGCGTTATGGCCATTGAAACACCATGGAAAAGAGATACAAAGCCAAGTGTCTTCGCCATGTACTGCAATCCAAGGAGGTCTACAATTGCGACAGGAATCAGGCAAAAGTAGGAGCTCGCGAACATTCCGTACACTACAGAATATATCAGCAATGTCACATACGAATTGAAAAAAAATGTGAGATGAGTCATAGTCCCAGTAATTATAAGACCAATCGCCATAATCGTTGTAACTCGCATGATTTTCGTGTCTGCCAAAAACCCATAGAACAACCTGCTAAAGAAATCTATTGCTCCAGATATGAGCAGAAATATTGCAGCGTCACTCTGGCTGATGTCTTTGTCTTTAGCCAACGCAGGCAAGTATACCGGCACAAGGCCTATGGTTATTCCAAAGAAAGAATACAAAATGATTAATACAAACACTGGATTCTTGAACAATGAAAACTCCAATGTTGAAAGCACTTTCTTCATGTAAAATATCGCATTCTTGGAAGTGACAGTATCCTTCTCACTATTTTCATCAACTTTTGGAAACGCTTCATCTTCATCTTCTGCACTTAACACTGACACTGAACCCAGCTCGGCATTGCTTGCATACAGATTGAAGCTTATTTGACTCGTCCCTGACAGTGGTCTGCTGATTCTTCTTACGAGTGTAGGCGAATCAGGTACACCTGTATTGAGGAGCGAATACCCTTGAAGGGGAGACCTTCCTATCATTTCCGAGGTAATAGAGCTTACACTCAGAAACTTTTCAGGATTTAATTTTCCAAAATGTTTCATATCAGCTCTCAATGAACGCCGATTTAGTTTGGTATCTGCTGCATGTCCGTTTTGTTTTGTGTTTGCTGTTGTCTTCATTTTTCTGTACGACTCCAGCGGGCGGTTCACCATTCCACCCACCCACATGTTCATTGTTATTCCTGTGAGTATTATCATACTGCCCTGTAACCCATACTCGTCTAAAAGGTATCGTATCAAAGGGGGAAACACGCTGCTGCCAAAACTGATGCCGGACATAGCTATTGCTGTAGCAAGTCCTCGTCGTTTGTTGAAGTAGTGCCCAATCAGAACAATAGCTGGTCCATAGATCATGGAGTGTCCCAAACCTGTGTGTGGAAATACATATATCATCAGTGCACATCAAAGTGATAGGGATACGAGCAATGAGAAACACAGTGAGCATCATGAAAAGCCAAAGGTAGCAGTATTCCACCCGCTTGTAGTTGGCGACACTAATGGTAGGATCCACACATTTTACAAATGACCATTGTCTCTTAACATACACGCTGTAATCGTTCGGCAAGTGCAGTTTTCAGATAACAGGGTGCTGACTAATAAAATGTCATTGTAATTTAGTGTGCGGATGCATTAATCATTTGGCCACCAATTCGATCTTAGATTACCTTCAGCAAAATGCCATTTATCAATTTCGTAAAGAAAAAAACAATAAATTAGAAAGATCTTCTATTGTTTGTTGGCTCAACGGTCTCCATATGAGTTGGGTTGTCCATCTCATTACTGTCAACTGAATGATGGCGAGAAAGTCAAAGTGACATTGGAAGTAGTGTTATGTGCCGGATGGCGATGGCAGCAAACGCAGTGGTGATCAGATGTTAACAGACAGTGATGAAAGTCATCTGTCCCTGGTAGTTGACAATTATGAAAGGCTTGATAGTTCGAGAAAGATGCGACAGTTTCTGGAAGGTTGGCTATACCTGTGTATGGGCGACAAGCGGGCCCTTTTCAGGCTGACTTGCGTTGTATGTACTTGCCAAGTGTGGATTGCCGACATTATTCTTGATTCAAGAACGAAAACAGGCCCGTGTCAAGACATTCGACAGTGACACATTTCTGGGCATCATTAATTCTTGAGCATGCTACCATTTGCTTCTGTCACCTATTTGACCCGTTGCATTGTCTTATTTCATTGTAAACCTCAAACTGATTATTTCAAAACACAAGGAAATTTATTGATTATTAATTGATCTTTTGTGGTGGTTTACTGATTTTGCGTTTCACTTCCGAATCACACAGTAACAGTATGCGATAGAAATGCTGCTATACAAAAAAATAATAACAGGGGTCCTTAACCACCAAGCAGTGGATCCTAGATCGGCTAAGCAGAGCTACGATGCACAGCAAATTATGCCACCAAATAAACGTGTATATAAACGGAGATGTGTTAGCAAATATTATACATGTATGATTTCTCATCTGTTTGATGTTTTACGCCGTACACAGCAAATTCAATATGACGGTGACTTTAAATAATCGCGTCTGAAGTATTTTGAAAAACGACCCACACCGTCGGGTGTGATGGCATCCAATCAACAGAATCAGAGATTCATTAAGGGACTTATCACATGCTCTTTGTGCCTATTTCAAGCCTTAATCAAACCAGGATGTGGCATTTATTAAATGAACATCCGTTCATGTTTGTGTTGTACATGAGCAGCTTTAGTTCACATACTACATCCTACATTCAGTGTGCATGTATCATGTATGGTGATAAGAGAATCGTAAATATAATGATATCCTTACCGATAAATGCACTGTGTGTACAAATCAAGTACGTAATACTTGTAGGGAAGATAGCCATTACCATGGCAGCGGTTGTTATGGTTGCTCCTAGCATCACAGTTTTCCTGACTCCAAGAAGGTCTACCAGTACGTGCATGGATATGAGTGCTGGAAGAGGAAACCGGATAAAAAGAATGCCTAAAACAAATACGCGGCTATCCACTAAGATGCACATACACTCAACATCTTAACAAGACAGCATATACTTGGAGATACATGTGTGTATGTACTTACTCACTTAATATACATTAAAAAACGCCTAGCATACTCACAAAATTCATCATAAATTCTCAGAAGATGGGCTTGTCAAAACTAAGAAGAAAATAACACAAAATAGTTTCAGTGCAATTCCGTTATTCTGAAACCCTTTGGTCAAATACTGTTGGAACTATACAGGGTAATTAAAGTCAGCATAGTAACTCTGCAGATTTTAGGGCATACTTAATCACAAATGCATGACCAAAACAGAATTTGGATAACGGAAATAGCGTAAAACAGACAAAACAAACATCAAAACGCGACATCGTCGTCAAAAGAAAAATTCATCCAGTAAGGGGAACACGAGTAAGGTGCTGACAAATCTTGAAACAAAATTGGAGTGAACAAGAATGTCAAAATAAGAATTTGCACGTGGAAGAAATCTGATTTATAGTGACACAAATAGTGTCAGAGCAACCCGTTAGTCCTGAACCTTCCTTCAGAACAGAAAAGTTCAGAACTTTATTTGCTCTCAGGACGATATATTCGGCATATGAGGTACAAACGCAAAGTACAAATTACATGATGGCGGAAGTAGAATGACTATTTAACGAATTTCATGATAATATTACAAAATATGCTTAGTTTTTTATGATGCCGAGTTTTGTACATTGAAAGAGAGATTGAAAACTAACATGTCCAGTGCATCTGAATAACATTTCGGAACAAATATCTTACGTTCTGATTTAAGATATGGACGCAAAAAATGTAATCTTATGATATTCATCCCTTATATCGGACAGATGGCAAAAAGTACATTGCGCTCTAGAAGGAGCAATCTATTGCGTTCATTATTGTTGGCATACTACTATTTTTATTTTAGAAATACACGACGAAAGGGAGTCGTTCATCGTGCAATAAAACACTGCAGGGAGAATAAACCATAATAGGCCCAGCCCCGAGTGGTTTATTCTCACTGCAGTGTTTTATTATACGATAAACAACGACCACGAGTCTTTTATATCTTATATCAGATATCAACATTATGTGCAGCTTCTTTAAGGATGTTACTAAAACTTACAAGCTTTAAAAATATTCGCCCGTATTTCAATTATGATGACTCCCTCAATAGAATCCGACCTCGGCAATGTCGGACAAGTCCATTTTATGCACAGGTGGGTATTCCCCTCACATTCGTACAATCCTCACATCAATTACCTGTACCTTTTCTCCCAATACCGATTGTCATATCTCTTCCGTATTTGGATACGATCGCTCTGCCATCGCATTTATCTGCGTACACGCAACTTAGTTGTTGTTGTGTAACAATTTACTACACAATATGCGCATGTATACTTACAAGACAGGCTATAGACACCAGCCATGACGCCCATCAGTAATGTGGTTTTGGTGGTTGATGCCTCGAATAACGTCAAGTATTCCACGAAAAGGATTGCCATCCCTCGGGCATAGCCAATCATTATAATGACGTTGAGAAAACATCCTGAAAAGGGTATTTTTTGCTCAAAATGATGATACGGAGACATACTCATAAGACAAAGAGAACAAACACTCTGAGTGAGTGAGTGAATTTGATCTTAGGTGAGGTGAGGTGAAATTGGGTTTAACGTCGCGGCCAAGATTATTGCACTTATATAGCGACGTGCATGTACGTGTATGTGTTTGTGTGGCTGCTTCTACTAGTCCGGACTGATGCCGATTAATAGTGCTAGCTCACTGAGATACCATGCCGCAGTTTAACATGAATACCCAACTCAGACACAGTATACTGACTCCGAGCCGACCAGTCCTTGTTTTAGCCCTCTAATGCCGAGCGCCAGACAGGGTAACAACAAGTATCATCTTTTAACGTATTTTGGTATGACGCGGCCGGGGATCAAATCCCGGACCTTCCGCTCTCCGGGCGGACGCTCTACCACTAGACCAAGGAGGCGGTGTTGATCTTAGGAGTAGTTATTTCAGCTTTGTCACAGTGAATCAGCTTAAGGTTGGACGTAATGCAAAACTGACGCTAGTAGAGATCTTTACTTATTTTGTTTGTGAAACCAAAGAGAACGCATGTAGCGCTGGCAAACAAAGGGTCATTATCAACACGAATCTTATATTAGAACCTAAGATGAGAGGACGTGATTTTGTACAGCGTAGTACGATGCCTTTGGCTACTTTGTCACCCTTGACTCCAACAAAGATAAAATAATACTTCCGAAAATATCAAGTTCCCATGCTAAAACGTATTGTCATCCCTATACCAAGACGCATATATGACAGGGTGACAATAGTTGTCAGTATGAGTACATGGGACCCTGGTACGATTGCACATCAGACATCTAAATAGTAAGATAGACACAATATTTTTATGGATAACAACTTCTTTAATACCTTTTCACAGTATTAAAGAAGTTGTTATCCATAAAAAAATATTGTGTCTATCTTGTCATCCGTCAACTTCTATGTAATGCCTATCAAACAAGTTATCTAAATAGTATTGAACAATTTTACTGTTGGGGGCGGAGTGGGCAAGGCGAGCAAGCGCAATGAGATGAGATTCGGCCGGGTTGTGGACCAACAATGTTTACAGATGTTTACAGTGTCGTTTCCCCTAGTGTACAGCGCATTCGCCCTTTGCACTCAAAAGAACGCCCTCATCCGATGGTAGATGTACAAATGTTGGAAAAGCGAATACGTTCATACTCGAGTGTAAGAGTTTGTGGTGTCAGCTTGGGCAAGTGACTTAGTGCCTCTGTTCACCAAGCAGGGAATGGGTACCCGATATGTGAGGTGGATGTAAAACCCCCGTTGGCAGCTTGGGTATTATACACCCCAGGGAGTTGACAAAGGATACATACGGATTCACTGGTCGGGGATCAACTAAACCACATTTGAGCAGATACCAGTACCTGAATAATTGCAGAAGGAATATAGGTATGTTGGTAAGCGACATTGTGATATTGGTTCAAAGTTACGCAATGAAATGGACAAATGTTGCACATGTTGATTAAAGAATATTACCATTGGCAAGTTACTACATACCCGCTAGTATCATCCACGCCCAGCCTCCATCTATGGGGAGATGACTGTCATCAGTCTCACCCATCTGGACATCCGTAGTTTTTGTAACAGGCATCGCCACGTGTCCCGATTCACCGACATGTACATCGTTGTGTTGGTGTACCTTAGAGAGTCTGTTCCGGACAAACACATCCTCTTCTTCCTCGCTGCTTGCTCCAATGATATTGATGCTAAAATCCTCCACCTCGGCTTCGAGGCTTTCAGGACCGTATGCAGTCCCATACCGGTCTGCCGGCACACACTCTTCATCAGAATCCATTCGGGCTCTACATCGTACGTTATCTCAGCTAAATGTTAACGCTTACCTTTGCACCTTCACTATCAAGGAGGTTGATGTGTACAACATTCATACTGTTATCAGTATAGGTGTGCGCGTTCATTGGTGAAGTAGCTAATGATTTCATCATGTACGCATCATGCACAGCTCTCTCGGTAATTATATGGCATCACCATAACCGGTTCACCAAGCTAAACTGGTTTTGATGTCTGCTGTCTGTGTTTAATGCATATGAATGTCTTATTTTGGAGTGTCCAGTAGGTCTTCCTGATGAGGTGAGGTGAAATCGGGTTTAACAAAATTATTGCACTTATTAAGTGACGTGCATATACGTGTGTGTGTTTGTGTGTGTGTGTGTGTGTCCGGCAGCTGGTACCAGTCCGGACTTATGCCGATTTTATGGTGCAAGCCCACTGAGGTACCATGTCGAAGTGTATCATGAATACGCGACTTGGTACACTGAATCTAATCCGATCAGTCCTTGTTTTAGCCCGTTAATGGCGAAGGTAACAACAAGTACCATCGTTTAACGTATTTTGGTATGACTCGGCAGAGGATCGAACCCCCGACCTTGCCCTCTTCGGGCAGACGCTCTATCACTAGACCAAGGAGACGGTCTCATCCTGATAAGGCAATGTTAGCTATATGAAATAGATCCTTATACTTTCCTTGTGGATAGTTCAGATTAGGTACGGCTATATATGTGGTTTGTCCTGGATTGTCTGCATCACACTGCCTTGATTGGATTTGCACATGATGGTCTCATTCGCCTTGATCAAGAAAGCATCGACTCTAATGTATCTACTACCTATCTACATTTATCTACTACCTATCTACGCGTATCTACTACATACATGCATGCGAATATGCTTGTCGTAGGAGGCGACTAACGGGATCGGGTGGTCGCTGACTTGATCCCAATTGCGTGGATCGATGCTCATTATGTCAATCACTGGATTGTCTGGTCCAGACCGTCTTCCCGAGGCAAGAGAGTTAATTGACTATAAAAGTCCAGTTTCCACCCTTGCCAAACTAGGCTGGTATTATGGTGTAACATTTTGGCTGGACTAACGAGTCTATGCATAGTCCTATCAAAATCGCGCAACGAAATCGAAATACGGTTCGTAAACTGTGGTGCAGATTTCGGTCGATTGCAGGATTTGCAAAGCATGTGCACCGCCAACTCGTTGTCAAGAGATATTTTCCAAATCTTTTCATGTTTTTAATCAAGGTGGTCACGTGATTTGATTTATTTCGCGATGTACATGTAAGACCCGTTTTATGACAATATAGACCTTGATTATCGATCAGATTGTCTTGACCGGGCGCCGCTGTTTTGTTTGAAGCAAATGCAAGTGATACGAGAGGTGAAATCTGATTGGTCCATAGGAGAGGCATAGAAGGGACATAACTCGTAATAGCCACTGGTGGCGCTACAATCGAGCACAGGAATTCCAGCCTAGTTCGGCAAGGGTGGAAACTGGACTTTCAAAGTCAGTTAACTCTCTTGCCTCGGGAAGATGGGTCCAGATCCGATTATTTACAGACCGCCGTCATATAGCTGAAATATTGCTGAGTGCGACGATAAACAACAAACAGACAAACTACATGCAGCTATCTACTTATGTATGAGTAGATATGTTCGTATATATGGCAATCCCTTTTCACATTTATTGCAAAATTACTGATATCTTCAATTGCTTGAACTATATCTGAGTGAGTGAGTGAGTGAGTATGGTTTTACGCCGCTTTTGACAATATTTCAGCAATATCACGGCGGGGGACACCAGAAATGGGCTTCACACTTTGTACCCATGTCGGGAATCGAACCCGGGTCTTCGGCGTGACGAGCGAACGCTTTAACCACTAGGCTACCCGATCGCCCCTAAATATATATGAGATACAGATTGAACGTCAGGGTACCGTTCAATCTAACGTCGATAAACCCGTTGACGGCCGCTACTGCAGTCCAGGATTCATCTTTGAAGAGGTCTGAACCCCAGTCAAGTAACCTCAGCATCAGATGTTGTCTTGTAGTTCGGTGATATAGCAGAAACCATGGACGTACAGCTAGTCGTAGTCGATGGTATGCTCTTGTAATCGATTCCCCAAAGTCATTGCACTGATCGGACGTAAGGCTGGGGCTGTTGCGGAGTATAAAACATCTGAAACCGACTTCGCAGGTGGATCAGATGGATATGGTTATCTTACCGACGTGATGTTACTTGGGGACGTCCTGAACTTAGTCGGTACCTGGCGTTTAAAATCTGTTGGCACAGGCACAAGAGTGACTGTATGGTTTTTCGATGACGACCAAACTGACTAGCAACAACGTGTTGTGCAATCACCGGTTTCAAACATTCCAATTGCACCCCCCTGCTCATTTGCAGATAGAGACTGCATAACTTTAACGAGATTTCGGGGCCAATAAAGTTGCTTCTTTCAGACTGTCGGTTGCACAAACAAACTGTCAGCATGTCAAAATAATGTGCACGTATGGCTTTGATCATGAAAGTCTGCAAACATCTTTTAATTTGAAAGTTATTAAGGTACCTGCATGTATACTGAAATATCAAACAAATTTGATACGGTTGCCTGACCCTCTTGAATACACATATATGGATTCCCTTTTTACGCACTGTCTAGAACTCTTCGCATTGGCACATCAGGTAGATACTTTACTTCAAAATCAATAATGTTTGTCTGTCAAACTTTGAGGGCAACATAAACAAAACATCCTGATGAATAAACTTAAAGTATTTATCGCATTGCGATGATCAGACTTTACTTGTGTCGTCTGTCCCTGCATAATGATCAATAGAGTTGCTTTCTTCATACCCAAACTGTACGTCTTTACTATGAACAGTAAAAAATACCTTCAGCAAAAGGTTTCAATCCACGTAGATTGTTTGTGTCTGTTACAGACATAACTAATAGTAGTATACCGAATAGTCACTATACCGATAGTCAGTAGAAGTATGAAATATGCGGTTGTTTTTCTCATATAAATAAAGAACTTTCTACATATTATAGGCTGTGCACGTGTATACAGAATAGATTGTTCTATCGGGATACCGATTTACGAATTCGAATATCAATCGAATAAAAACAACTATAAAAGCTTTAAAAGAAATCGATGTCAAATCTTAGAAGCCAACATTGAATGCCAAAATTCAAACAAGAGCTATAAACTTCCAACTGACAAAACAAAATAGCAACTGTCATTGCAACTTATATGATAGTTATTTACTACAGACCTTAAATCTTTGCATAACTAACTTGTCCCGTCTTCAAATCGAAACTTGCAAAAGAAAATTATAGATGGAAGAAAGTTCCATTACACAATACAACAACATATATACATATTGTTCTACCCACAACATGTTTAATGAGGTATATTTTTCGGTTGAAATGATAACGCCAAATGTGCTATATATTCCCTGCTTCGAATGAATGACAAAAAGGACAAAAATAAGTAACTTTTGTTCAAATCTCTGTATTTTGTGTAAATCGAAAACTTTATGAATATCCTTTGCCTAGCTATGATGTTATTGTTATATTTGAATAACATACATTCCTGCGTTTGGACATATTTTTGATAATGTTGGCTTCGTTTTGTTGGTAATATAAGATTAATTTTTTGATAATGTGTTTGTTGAATATTAACTCACACGACAACAGCGAACTGGAGTTATTCGTGCTTATGATTCCTGGATAACTGGTTAACCTCCTTACCCAAGCGAACTTGTAAAACACTAATCATTGCCAAAAGCACCGTAACGGGATATTGGGGAACGTACACAGCGTTGTGTTTTGAATTTTATTTTAAAAATGTTGGACTGTAGACTTGAATTACATGTACTTTTGCTTGTACGTATGCATTTTACCAATTACATCTTTCTCTTCAGTAACTGTCGAACGACATTCTGTGTCTAGTTATATTGAATTCTATGTATATATTGTCAACTCATCTCGTCATCATTATCTATCCCTTCATCGTCCTCGTCGATGTCATGAACTTAACGCTGGACACAATTCTGTCAAAACTCTTAATCTTGGTTCTTATCGAATCAAAGAATACTCCTTTGAGAGTGAGAGAGAGACAGACAGACAGACAGACAGAGAACGAAAACGATCAGTTATTGATTGAACTTTGACATCATTCATATAGATTATGAACAGTGAAAGCCTTATTGCATCTTCCCTGACTAAGTTGCTTCCTCATCGTGTTCCTAATGACCGGCTTCGAGAAATTTTGTTTGTTGAACATGTCCAAGTATTTGACGCACCTGCATCAAAAGCCACACTCTTCTAAAGGGGTTATAACAGGAACATACAGCATGTTTTATGGAAACACAATGCATTTTTAACCATTTTGTATTATTTCACAAAACAAACAACGTGACAGACAAATGTGGAATAACAATTGGTTGTCGCATCCCACAGATTATATTTCTAAAGGTCTTACTTTTTCACCTCCGATAAGCAGGATCATGTAGACATTTACGGATGTCGATATTTCGATCTGAAGAAAACCATTGCTGTTACAGTAGATGCAGCGAGTGTTCAATCATCTCCCTCAATTTCACCAATTCGAATTATTTTAAAGTATCCAGGGTCCAAAAGAACTAAAACAATCAAACACTAACAACAGGTCAATGTTCATACTTCTGGATCGACGTCCAATTAAAAAGTAAAATTTCTTGAAAAGATAAATGTCCCATTACAATTCCGTTGTTAGCTGCAATGGTTTGATTTCCTCCTCATTTTCATTTAATGATTCTTCTTTCAGGTGTCTTGAGACGCGTCTTGTTAGTAGCGGTACACACAGCAGAATGATTGCAGATGCATATGCACATGCACCAAGATAGTTGAAGCCTGCAGTATATGAACCAGTGTAATCTGTAAGACTACCTGAAAGAAGAAAATACAATGCATCATATTGTTCAGGATCATTAACAGGATCACTAATCTCCTTTATCTCGGTCTGTCCTTAAAGGCGATTTAAATTTATGGTCTTGGTATAATACGGATTACACGATACATTTTCATGCTTAAGGACTTCGAGTTACAAGGCATCACTGTGTCTACACAAAGAATGCAAGTTAATTCATTCTTAGTTAATCTAATGTGACTACAAATTCTGCAAGTTGTATATATACTCTTCAAAAAAAGAAACTTGACAGATGTAAAACCACTTTTTGCCAAATATCTAAAATAATTACATTAAATGAGAACCAAATAAGTCAAACAGAAAGATGATGTGTCTATAATTCACGAAAACACATGTTAAGCACATAAACGTAGCGTTTGGGGATCAATTTTACAGCTTCATCCAAACGCAACCACCTGTAAAAAAAGGGCAGCACAGGATCCAGCATTTAGGCATGCAGACCCCCCTGCTGAATGGGTATGAAAATCCACATCAACGGCTGTTCATACAGTCCTATAACGGCAGTAGAGGCGGTGACAGAATGCCGAGACTGAATGCAGCTCAACGGAACAACGCCATTGGGAGATTACAAGCTGGAGCAACTCAGTAAGAAGTGACCAGGCACTTTGGCGTATCCAGACAGACAATCTCCGCACTGTGGACCCGATACAAAAACACCAACAGAGTGGACGACAGACCAAGGTCAGGAAGACCAAGGATGACAACCCAAGCACAAGATCGATACATCCGGCTGCGACATCTCCGAGACCGCACTACCACAGCCACGTCTACAACCACACAGATCCCTGGGGTACGCAGAATATCAGATCAAACGTTACGCAACAGACTGAGGGAGGCTGGACTTTTTGCACGAAGACCTGTTCGACGTCATGTATTGACCCCACGTCATCTGGCGGACCGTCTGCTTTGGTGCCAACAGGGGGTTAGATAGGCACGTGCATGGTGGAGAAACTGTTTACTGACGAGTCCCGTTTCCTACTCACACGTGCTGATGGGCGCGCACGTGTCTACAGACGTCGGTGTGAACGTTACGCCCCCAACTGTGTGCAGCAGGTTGTCCCCTTTGGCGGCAGGAGTGTCATGGTATGGGCCGGAATTCATCACGGTGGTAGGACGCCTCTCGTGCATGTGTCAGGTGCATTGACGGGTGTGCGTTACAGAGACTTGATCCTACAGCCCTACGTTCTTCCTCACGTCAACGTTCATGGCGGACAGTTCCAGCAGGACAACGCTCGACCGCACGTGTTTGTCAGGACTTCTTACAGCACAACAACATGCAGACATTACCTTGGCCAGCCCGTTCACCAGATTTGTCCCCGATTGAGCATCTGTGGGACGAGTTGGATCGACGCGTTCGCAGAAGGAATCCACCGCCCCAAACACTTCCGGCGCTTCTTCATGCACTTCAGCATGAATGGCAGCACATCCCACAGCGTGTTATTGACAACTTGATTGCATCTATGGGTCGTCGATGCAAGCGGTGATTGATGCACGTGTTGGGCACAACCGATACTGACATTTTCTGTACCCCTGTGACATTAACTGTATCGTGTACGTGTGTCTGTCTAGGTGACACGATTAATGTTTTGAACATTGTGTACATTGATCTTCAAACAGTGTTTCAATAATGGTTTCTGTGTCCTATTTTAAAACAATCGCATTATATAACATTTTGAAAATCAGTGTCAAGTTTCTTTTTTTGAAGAGTATATATTAAAAGCGTGTTGTACTTACCTACGATAGGGTGCGTTATGGCCATTGAAACACCATGGAAAAGAGATACAAAGCCAAGTGTCTTCGCCATGTACTGCAATCCGAGGAGGTCTACAATTGCGACAGGAATCAGACAAAAGTAGGAGCTCGCGAACATCCCGTACACTACAGAATATATCAGCAATGTCACATACGAATTGAAAAAAAATGTGAGATGAGTAATAGTCCCAGTAATTATAAGACCAATCGCCATAATCGTTGTAACTCGCATGATTTTCGAGTCTGCTAAGAAACCATAGACAAATCTGCTAAAGAAATCTATTGCTCCAGATATAAGTAGAAATATTGCAGCGTCACTCTGATTGATGTCTTTGTCTTTCGCCAACGCGGGCAAATATACCGGCACAAGGCCTATGGTTATTCCAAAGAAAGAATACAAAATAACCATTAAGAACACTGGCTTCTTGAACAACGAAAACTCCAATGTTGAAAGCACTTTCTTTATGTAAAAAATCGCATTCTTGGGATTGACAGTATCCTTCTCAATATTTTCATCAATTTTTGGAAATGCGCCATCTTCATCTTCATCTTCTAAACTTAACATTGACACTGAACCTATTTCGGCATTGCTTGCATACACATTGTAGCTTGTTTGACTCGTCCCTGACAGTGGTCTGCTGATTCTTCTTACGAGTGTAGGCGAATCTGGTAAATCTGTATTGAGGAGCGAATACCCTTGAAATGGAGACCTTCCCGTCATTTCCGATGTAATGGAACTTACACTTTGAAACTTTTCAGGATTTGATTTTCCATAATGTTTCAATTCAGCTCTCAATGAACGCCGATTTAGTTTGGTATTTGCTGCATGTCCGTTTTGTTTTGTGTTTGCTGTTATCTTCATTTTTCTGTGCGACTCTAGTGGGCGGTTCACCAATCCACCCACCCACATGTTCATCGTTATTCCTGTTAGTATTATCATACTGCCCTGTAACCCATACTCGTCTAAAAGGTATCGTATCAAAGGGGGAAACACGCTGCTCCCAAAACTGATGCCGGACATAGCTATTGATATAGCAAGTCCTCGTCGTTTGTTGAAGTAGTGCCCAATCAGAACAATAGCTGGGTCATAGATCATGGAGTATCCCACACCTGTGTATATAAACATGCATCATTAGAGCAAATGAAGTGGATAAGAGTAGGAGCAAATATAAGCACGGTGAATATAAGCAGTGAATATTAGCATTTTTTGTTTGTTTCACCTACATCGGCGGAGACGCGAATAGTTGGATCGACACGTTTTACAAATGTGGGCATTCCATGTACGATGTAATCGTTCGGAAAAAGCGGTTTTCGGATTAAAGGGGTGCGGGACTTACGATGTTTTATTGCAACAGAGTGTATGCGGATGCACTAACCTCTTAGCCACTGATCCCGTCGGAGAGTAACTTATGTGCGCATAATTTAATCAGTTAGTTAAAGGAAAATAAAATAAGTAACCTTTCCATTTCAACTGCCGACCTCTGGTTACATGTAATCATATACACTTTTGTTTGCAAGTATATATATTTTATTATTTGCAAACAACTTCCATTGTTTGTTGGCTGTTCGGTCATAAAATGTGAATGAGGTTTTGTAACAACATTTTATGTACGAGTACGTCATTCCTGTCCACTGAATGTGGCAGAATAATTTTTTTTGTCGTTATTGTCTGTAGCAGTAACTGTCGAAGTAACTGTGTGAAGTACTGTTGTGTTTAGAGTTATCCAACGCTCCGTTTTGACAAACATGACCGAATGGAAGCATTCAACAGTATCAAAATTCAAGGTATTGGTGATGCTTTATCTCTAATTCTGAGCCATGTTATTTGTCAACGTATTTGTCCCATGGTATTGCCTTGATATATTGCAAACCTACCACTAATGTATTGATTATTCATTGATCTTGAGTGGACATTTACTGATTCTGAGTTTAATTTGGGAAATCACCCAGTACCACAAGGTCGTAGAAATGAATCTTGGGTCGGCTTATCTATTCAATGACACAGCCAAATGTGTCCCAAAAAATATTATGCATGTGATGACATTAACCATTTCTCTATGAAGCACATATGATTTGGCATCTGTTTGTTGTTTAAGTAAGTACACAGCAATATTCCAACTATATAACGGTTGTTTTAAAACAATAGATTCTGGAACAGACAAACCCGTATTATGTGCCTAAATCAACACGATGACAAGCAGTCAACTCAATTTAGCCTTACCGATTAACACACTGTGTGTACAAACCAGGTACGTAATACTTGTAGGGAAGATAGCCATTACCATGGCAACGGTAGATATGGTTGCTCCAAGCATCACTGTCTTCCTGACACCAAGAAGGTCTACCAGGACATGCATGGATATAAGCGCTGGAACAGGAAACCGGATTATGTGGATGCTTTCAATACATATGCGGCCATCCTCTAAGATACACATACAGGTGTAGCCTAAAAGACACATGTGACCAACCAAGTAATACATAACATAATACAATCACCATTTAACTTCTCTTATTTTAAAACTGCGGTATCTTAGGACTATAAGAAAAGAGTTTATAAGCTTCGATTCATATTCATTACAGAGATACATTACTTCAAACATTTCTTTTTCTGCTAAGTCCAAATTTTCAGACTTATAACTGTTTATACAACGATAGCAGTTTTTAGATACCATGTCTTATTAATCGAAAGTAAGCAGGTATACTGATATGGTTTGAAATAATGTTTTATAGCATTACGAACTAACGAGAGAAAAATAAAATAGTTTTGTAGAGTGAGCACACAAGGTTATTTTCACGGAATTACGTTGACGTCAAAAGTTTTCTTTATGACGTCACAGCATATAAGTACTAATAGCACCCAGTAGGTGCCTTTTCTCCTGCCGGGTCACATATGATTGGACTTTTCTCACTTAATAAACATTCATGATTCGTGAACCCGGGCATTAATGTATCGACACGTTGAACAGTACATTTCGGATCAACGGTTCCACTGTACGTGCTAGTATGTTATAGCTGTGTACACAGTATAGTATGGACATGTATACTTACAAGACAGGCTATAAACACCAGCCATGACGCCCATCAGTAGCGTCGTTTTGGTGGCTGATGCTTCAAAAATCTTCAAGTATTCCACGAAAAGGATGGCAATCCCTCGACCATAGCCAGTCAGAATAATGACGTTGAGAAGACATCCTGAAAAGGGGTATATGTTGCTCTAACGGATGTCACTGAGAACAAATACTCTTAACTATGTTTGGTCTTAGGCCCCAGTTATTTCGGTCATTCATGAGGTAAAGCACAAGTGACGTTGGTAAAGATATTTACCCATTTGCAGGTGAACGGATGCGGTGCTGACAAACCAAAGGTCTTAATCAGCGCGAATTCGCTTCGAACTTGAGTTCATAGGATGCAAAGACTACTATGCTCTTTGCCTCCTACAAAGATGAAATAAAACTCACAAAACCGCGGTACTATTACACATCATTGCGGTCAAACTGACCAGAGAATGTGTATGTCATCACGCTACGGCACCGTGTGTCAGTTGAAGGTTGGTGGTTATTTAATAGTGATACATTTTCTTCGTAAACCAATGAACACACACGTGGCGCTGGCAAAGACCACACTCAACTGGAATCTGGGCTTCGAACCTAAGATGAGAGGACGCAGTTGCGTACAGCGTATTACGATACCTTAGACTACTTTGTCATCCTTGCCTTCCACAAAGATAAAAATATTATTTCCGAACATAAACCCTTCTAGTAATTATTGTCACCCTTATGCCAAGACGCATATATCAAGGGGTGGGGACAATAACTATTAGCGTGGATACATAAGGCCACGGTCCTATTACACACCATTGCTGTCAACATTACCAGTGCATGTGTATGACATTAGGAATATTTAATGGGTATTGAACAGACATACGAATGTTGGTCAATCCTGAGAGACACTGCAATAGAGGTCTATGAAAGCTATTTAGAAGTGATACACATAAGGAAGAGAATATATTAGCAATAGACAATGGAAGCCAACACTTTACAGTGATTAGCGCTGATAGTATGGAAGCCAGTATTTAAATTATCATAGATAAGTAATAGGCAATGGACACAGGGCAAACAGGAGGCCGGGGGTAATTAGCACAGAACGGCGAAAGAATTGACATAGAAATGCCAGCCATGAACCGTGACCAGGGAACCTATCTGCCTAGTGCTTGGATCTTTGTCGGTGCTAATTACCTAGCTGGCTTCCATTTGCTCATTGCTGGTGAAGAAGTAAGAATGTACTCCGAAACGTTGTGTTCCTCATAATAAAAAAGTTGACATCCATACGTTCTCTGCCTTAATGCAATAGAGGTTCCCATAAAACAAAACAAAAGCCAATATTTACACCATCTTTGGTGAAGAATATTACCATAGGCAAGACATATGCAAGTAACTATATACCCGCTAGTATCATCCACGCCCAGCCTCGATCTATGGGGAGATGACTGTCATCAGTTCCATCCGTCTGGACATCCGTAGTTTTTGAAATAGAGGTCTCCACGTGTCCCGATTCACCGACGTTGCGTTGGTGTATCTTAGAGAGCCTGTTCCGGACAAACGCATCCTCTTCTTCATTGCTGTTTGCTCCACTAATATCGATGCTAAAATCCTCCACCTTGTCTCCGAGGCGTTCAGGTCCGCCTGCAGTCCCACACCGGTCCGTTGGTAACTCTTCATCAGAATCCATTTGGTCAAATGGTCTGTGTCGTACGTATTCTCTGCTCGTGTTACCTCTCACCTTTGTACCTTCACTATCAATGAGGCCAAAATGTACGGCATTCATCCTGTTATCAGTACATGCTTGTTCACGGAGGAAATACAAAGAATGTGACCGCGTGTAAGTCACATTAGAAATAAATAAACGACGAGTGGGGGTTGTTTATCGTACAATAAAACACTGCAGGGGGAATAAACCATGAGGGGTGCAGCCCCAAGTAGTGTATTCTCCCTGTAGTGTTTTATTGTACGATAAACAACGACCACAATTCGTTTGTTTCTTATATGAGATATCTACATTTTGTACAGCCTCTTTAAGTAGTTGATAAAATGTACAAGCTTTAAAAATATATACCCCAATTTTAAAAACGATGAATAAAATCCTGAATAAAATCCGAACTCGGAAATGTCGGACAAGTCCATTCACAGGTGGGTTAAGTTTGGTATTTCCCAACATTAACATTAACCATTTCTCTATGAAGCACATATGATTTGGCATCTGTTTGTTGTTTAAGTAAGTACACAGCAATATTCCAACTATATAACGGTTGTTTTAAAACAATAGATTCTGGAACAGACAAACCCGTATTATGTGCCTAAATCAACACGATGACAAGCAGTCAACTCAATTTAGCCTTACCGATTAACACACTGTGTGTACAAACCAGGTACGTAATACTTGTAGGGAAGATAGCCATTACCATGGCAACGGTAGATATGGTTGCTCCAAGCATCACTGTCTTCCTGACACCAAGAAGGTCTACCAGGACATGCATGGATATAAGCGCTGGAACAGGAAACCGGATTATGTGGATGCTTTCAATACATATGCGGCCATCCTCTAAGATACACATACAGGTGTAGCCTAAAAGACACATGTGACCAACCAAGTAATACATAACATAATACAATCACCATTTAACTTCTCTTATTTTAAAACTGCGGTATCTTAGGACTATAAGAAAAGAGTTTATAAGCTTCGATTCATATTCATTACAGAGATACATTACTTCAAACATTTCTTTTTCTGCTAAGTCCAAATTTTCAGACTTATAACTGTTTATACAACGATAGCAGTTTTTAGATACCATGTCTTATTAATCGAAAGTAAGCAGGTATACTGATATGGTTTGAAATAATGTTTTATAGCATTACGAACTAACGAGAGAAAAATAAAATAGTTTTGTAGAGTGAGCACACAAGGTTATTTTCACGGAATTACGTTGACGTCAAAAGTTTTCTTTATGACGTCACAGCATATAAGTACTAATAGCACCCAGTAGGTGCCTTTTCTCCTGCCGGGTCACATATGATTGGACTTTTCTCACTTAATAAACATTCATGATTCGTGAACCCGGGCATTAATGTATCGACACGTTGAACAGTACATTTCGGATCAACGGTTCCACTGTACGTGCTAGTATGTTATAGCTGTGTACACAGTATAGTATGGACATGTATACTTACAAGACAGGCTATAAACACCAGCCATGACGCCCATCAGTAGCGTCGTTTTGGTGGCTGATGCTTCAAAAATCTTCAAGTATTCCACGAAAAGGATGGCAATCCCTCGACCATAGCCAGTCAGAATAATGACGTTGAGAAGACATCCTGAAAAGGGGTATATGTTGCTCTAACGGATGTCACTGAGAACAAATACTCTTAACTATGTTTGGTCTTAGGCCCCAGTTATTTCGGTCATTCATGAGGTAAAGCACAAGTGACGTTGGTAAAGATATTTACCCATTTGCAGGTGAACGGATGCGGTGCTGACAAACCAAAGGTCTTAATCAGCGCGAATTCGCTTCGAACTTGAGTTCATAGGATGCAAAGACTACTATGCTCTTTGCCTCCTACAAAGATGAAATAAAACTCACAAAACCGCGGTACTATTACACATCATTGCGGTCAAACTGACCAGAGAATGTGTATGTCATCACGCTACGGCACCGTGTGTCAGTTGAAGGTTGGTGGTTATTTAATAGTGATACATTTTCTTCGTAAACCAATGAACACACACGTGGCGCTGGCAAAGACCACACTCAACTGGAATCTGGGCTTCGAACCTAAGATGAGAGGACGCAGTTGCGTACAGCGTATTACGATACCTTAGACTACTTTGTCATCCTTGCCTTCCACAAAGATAAAAATATTATTTCCGAACATAAACCCTTCTAGTAATTATTGTCACCCTTATGCCAAGACGCATATATCAAGGGGTGGGGACAATAACTATTAGCGTGGATACATAAGGCCACGGTCCTATTACACACCATTGCTGTCAACATTACCAGTGCATGTGTATGACATTAGGAATATTTAATGGGTATTGAACAGACATACGAATGTTGGTCAATCCTGAGAGACACTGCAATAGAGGTCTATGAAAGCTATTTAGAAGTGATACACATAAGGAAGAGAATATATTAGCAATAGACAATGGAAGCCAACACTTTACAGTGATTAGCGCTGATAGTATGGAAGCCAGTATTTAAATTATCATAGATAAGTAATAGGCAATGGACACAGGGCAAACAGGAGGCCGGGGGTAATTAGCACAGAACGGCGAAAGAATTGACATAGAAATGCCAGCCATGAACCGTGACCAGGGAACCTATCTGCCTAGTGCTTGGATCTTTGTCGGTGCTAATTACCTAGCTGGCTTCCATTTGCTCATTGCTGGTGAAGAAGTAAGAATGTACTCCGAAACGTTGTGTTCCTCATAATAAAAAAGTTGACATCCATACGTTCTCTGCCTTAATGCAATAGAGGTTCCCATAAAACAAAACAAAAGCCAATATTTACACCATCTTTGGTGAAGAATATTACCATAGGCAAGACATATGCAAGTAACTATATACCCGCTAGTATCATCCACGCCCAGCCTCGATCTATGGGGAGATGACTGTCATCAGTTCCATCCGTCTGGACATCCGTAGTTTTTGAAATAGAGGTCTCCACGTGTCCCGATTCACCGACGTTGCGTTGGTGTATCTTAGAGAGCCTGTTCCGGACAAACGCATCCTCTTCTTCATTGCTGTTTGCTCCACTAATATCGATGCTAAAATCCTCCACCTTGTCTCCGAGGCGTTCAGGTCCGCCTGCAGTCCCACACCGGTCCGTTGGTAACTCTTCATCAGAATCCATTTGGTCAAATGGTCTGTGTCGTACGTATTCTCTGCTCGTGTTACCTCTCACCTTTGTACCTTCACTATCAATGAGGCCAAAATGTACGGCATTCATCCTGTTATCAGTACATGCTTGTTCACGGAGGAAATACAAAGAATGTGACCGCGTGTAAGTCACATTAGAAATAAATAAACGACGAGTGGGGGTTGTTTATCGTACAATAAAACACTGCAGGGGGAATAAACCATGAGGGGTGCAGCCCCAAGTAGTGTATTCTCCCTGTAGTGTTTTATTGTACGATAAACAACGACCACAATTCGTTTGTTTCTTATATGAGATATCTACATTTTGTACAGCCTCTTTAAGTAGTTGATAAAATGTACAAGCTTTAAAAATATATACCCCAATTTTAAAAACGATGAATAAAATCCTGAATAAAATCCGAACTCGGAAATGTCGGACAAGTCCATTCACAGGTGGGTTAAGTTTGGTATTTCCCAAATATTCGCACAATCCTCAAGTCGATTATCTTTACCTTTTCTCCTTATACCGAATGTCGTATCTCTCCAGCTACATCTATAAGGCAGAATGATTTTGACACTTCCCTCTGATAAATAACGTCGTCCACTAAATGACGTTATCTATAGGTATAATTACAAAGCTGAACTGGTTTGAGTGTCTGCTGTCTACGTTCAATGACTATTAATGTCTTGTGTTTATCTAAAAACATATTTTTTAAAACACGAGGTACCAGTCAAAATAGGGAATCGCATCAGATATAATTTTTATACTGATGCGTCAAATTTGGAAATGTCCTCCACATGTCTACCATAAAACCCGAAAGCTTTACTGGGACCTTGAAACAAACAAACGTAAACATCATTATCATTAAATGTGACACAAGCGAATTAAGTCGCAACAATTCTTTATCACGAGATTTATTATAAAACCCGACACTAGCTGGTATGAATGAATTCCGGGACCTGCTTATTTTCAACATCAGCAAAGGTTTTCGGCGTTTTCGGAAGAAGTTGATACTCTGAAAGTAAAATTTTATCATTTTATGTTGTAATTGCTTCATTAACTATTTGCGACTCATAAAAACTGTCTGAGTGACCGTTTCAATACACATACATGATTATCTCTGTCTGTTAAAAGTGCTTAACATTCAACAGTTTGTTATATCGGAGTGTTGGAAGGACATTTTTTTGTTTGAGAATGAGACCATGAGACATTATGAAACGGCAAGTGACCTTTAATTTATTCGTGGCTCCTTAATAATGTGGGTAGGTGGTCTAGCTATATAAGAAACATTACATGCACATACCTGGCTCCGTACTATAGCCTCCATTGTATTTTGAGCAAATGCTAAAATCGTTCCGAAATGACATTTCAGCGATTTTTAATTCTGACTGGTCCGTTAAAGCAATATGACTTTACTTTATCCAATTTTGTGCACAGTAGTATGACGTCATCCATTATTGATTATAATGTATCACAAACTGATACAAATACGTCACTTAAACAATAGGCTGCCTTAAGTGATGGTTCATTTTACAGTTGACATTTCATACGTTTTTCTCTTCATTTTCATTCATCAATGAGACAGAATAATGTATAGAATACTCTATTATGGAGTATACTACACCATTCATTCTCAAGAGACAGCTAATATATAACACTGAACATATATATGGGTTTCCCGGCGGCATATGAATACATAAATAGTTGTATCATTTGAGTTATAATTATTATAACATAAAATGCCAGTTTGACAAATTTAAATATAAACATAACACGCGCACATAACATAAAGATACGAGTTCAATGCACAGACATGTAGCATGTGTCTTAGTAAAACAGTTTATTCAACGTTTATAGATGCACAAAACGTCCTTGATACATCAGTGGTTTTTCAGTGGTCGGTTTTCTTCAATGTTCTTAGGGGAGCTCTGTGACTTCATTCTGTTCGCCCGACCTCTGACGAGCGGTACACAAAGTAGAAATATTGCAGCTATGAAGTTACATATTCCAATGTAGGTGAAACAAAGGTTGTATGAACTGGTCAGGTCACGGATTGTCCCTGTAACAACAATACGCAGAACATTAGTGTCACAACGTTGTCAGATTTGAACAAAGATTTTAAACGTTCCATTTAACAATAGTTTATACAGCCTAACATGACAAGTTGTGGTACTAAATAAAATTGAGACGTGGGTCAGTAATTAAACGCCTAACCCAGCAAAATAATTTTCACACTTCTGACTAAAAAAATAACTCGGGTAATAATGACAACATCTTCTGAGACAAGGCAGTTAATTGTCTAAAAAGTCCAGTTTCCACCCAAGCTGACCAGTGGCTATACCGAGTTATGTTTTTTCTATGTCCCTCATATTGACTGATTGGACTTCACCTCTCAAGACGACCCGATCAAGTTAATCGAAGAAAAGTCTCACATTTCCTGTCTCAGACACCAAGTGCATGTGGAATGTAGCACGTTGAGAGGTGTAGTGCACGTTGATTATAAACATGAACAAATTAGAAAGCATCTGCCGACCCCCAGACGGTACACGTGCTTTGCAAATTCTTGAGTGGAGCAAACACGACAGTCGCCATGTTATTTACGAACATGATGTCGATTTTGTAATGCGATTTTAATTGCTAATCAAACCTTTAAACGTCCAGCCTACTTCGGCAAGGTTGAAACTGGACTGTTTTAGTCAGTAATGGCCGTTGCTTCGGGAAGATGACAAGCAATCAGACACTGTGCCCGACCGTATTTACAACCGAAGTAAGTTGGCCTATGACGAGCACTGGAGATTTGATTTTAGACCCGGATTCCAAACAATGTGGTGAAACAACAGAAATCTACACCAATGTCTGACAATGAAAGCAAGTGATATATGTGGCAAAATTATTTCTGAAGAAATCAATCCTAAAACATAGCATTGGGAAAGTCTTGAAGCACTTGACCTCGGACAGCACGTTGAGGGGGTGGTATATCAGATTTACTATTGTCACTCAGACTCGGTTGTGAGCAGACGCATATTGTTTTCTTGGAACCAAACGCTCAAAGACCCTATATTAAACACATGATTTAATCATTATGATCCAATTCATCCAACTAAAAAAAACATCTATGAAATGCCATGGCCAGCACCCAGTCCTGACCTTTCCACCATTAAACACGTCTGGACGTCATTGGCAGACGTGTGCGCCAACATCACAATCCACCGACCAGTCTAAATGAACTCGGTGCAGCTCTCACTGATGAATGGGACAACACGAGCCAATCTGACATTGGTCGACATCATCAGAAGTTCTGCCTCGAATAATTCGTTCATTTCTGGCCAACAGAGTTGGTTGTTCCCGACATGAGTGCAAAGCGCAAAATCAAATTTCGAATTTTAACCTCTAACCTCATGAACGACATCGTACGCCACTATCAAACAAAAACAACTAGAACCCACTAGATGTGATCGCTTACCCCTTAATAGATAATATTATATCAATCCCATTTGCCAATATCATACAGGTGAGAACATATGTCTTGAAGATTCACACTGTCTCCTCCTATATTTGCATAGTATATAATGAAATTTATTATCGGACATATTTGCAGTTCAAAACAAAATGATTTAACTTGAATCACTTGCTAATGGCTGCTTGTTGGAATGGACCAATATTTCTTTAATGACATTCATAATATTTGACCCTTACAGACAATCTTATATTAAGAAACTGACTTCAATCTGTTTTGTTTTTGGATGTAAAAACCTAAAAACTGATGTGAACATTGTAAATTCGAATAGCTTCAGGAAAACTTCTTAGTATTTTATCAGTATCACTAACAGATTGTAGAGATATTCGGTGACATCGTTCAGCGCAAGGATGCATCACAAGCCCCATCCACCTTATTATCAGTCAATATATTTCGGTATTATGCATGGTTTGCCAACAAAATTTCATGGAAGCATTTACAAGTTATTATAAGAGGGTATAGACGGTTCGTGCTTGTGTACCAGCTGTATTCCCAAACGTTTAGCAATGTTACTACAATGTACGTTTGACAGTGCTGTTACACAAGTAACTCCATGAATGCTGATGGTCTATTTCAGCATAACATTATTTAACATAAAATACAGAATGAGGATCTTACCCATAATCGGATGCGTCACAGACAGGGCTAAACCGTGGAACACAGCTATAAATCCAAGAACCTTCGCCATGTATTCAAGTCCCATGAAGTCGACAATGGCAACAGGAATAAGGCAGTAATAAAAACTGCCAAAGAGTCCGACAATCACGGAGAATACGACAAGAAGAGCATACGTATTGAAAAAATAGACAAACTGTGTTGCCATTCCAGATATCAGCATTCCAATAACCATCAGATGATTTACTTTGATGTATTTGAGATCGGCAACGAACCCGACAGCAAGTCTGCTGAAGAAATCCAGAACACACGACAAAGTCAACAAATATGCTGCATCTGCTTGTGAGATGCCCTTTTCATTTGCCAGGGCAGGAAGGTAGACTCCAAACAATCTAAATATTATGCCAAAGTGAACAAATGCAACTATCAACAGAAACATTGGTTGCTTAAACAAGGAAAAGTCAAATGCTGATAATGCTCGTTTCACATACATGCCACAACCTCTGGGTTCTTTTGATTCCTGTTCATTGTCAAATGATTCAGCATTAACTTCTGTAATATCCACCACTGACATTGAAGTCAAATCTAGGTTACTTGTGTACAATCTAATCTGACTTTCTGAGAGGGAATCTACTTGTGATTCAATGCTGACAACTGATTCTGGTCTTGTACTTTTGCAGATAATCGTACTTATTTGTCCCTTTCCCCTATTTGATTGACTCGCAAATGAGACCACTGCTTTTCCACCATTAATACTAGTTAGTTCCTTGACAGAACGTGCTCCAACCACATCATGTTCATTTCCATGTTTTTCATTGCCTTGTCTTTGGTCATGTTTTCGCCCTTCACTCATGACAGATGGGTGTTTTGGTATCCTTTTATGAAAGAAACTTAATGGTCTAAACAAAGCAGCCCCGACCCACATGTTCATTGTCAGCCCTGTTAGGATCAACATACTTCCTCTGACACCATATTCATCTAATAAGAAACGAACGAGGGGTGGGAAAACGCTGCCCCCAATACTAATTCCAGACATGGCAACTGCTGTGGCAATGCCTCTTCTCTTTTTGAAGTACTTTCCGATCAATACCAATGCTGGAGCATGAATCATGGAATGCCCTATACCTGAAAGTAAATTATTCATTATCATATATCATTAATGTTTTGTTCAAGATACTTACAGATTTACATGATTACAATATCCTTCAATACAGCTTACACAGTTATATTATATATGCCACATCATGCTTTAATCTGATCATGTCTATGAAGCTTTATGTCTCTTTCTCATGCCAGAATTCTATACTCGATTTTCCAGTATATTTCTAAATGTTCAAGACTTGCATCACTTTGTTACGCCATTGTATGACTGAACTATTGTTATAGAGTGTGTTCAACTCATTCAAACCTCCAATAAAATCTTACATTTAGGAATAAGCTGCAGGAGTAAACTGTTTATAAACATATATGTAAAGATAATGATCATATAAAGTGACCTAATGTTACAAAATCCCATATGGATGCATTTACTTGAGCCATCAATTATTTTCTGTGCTATTATGGATTCGTGAACACGTATAGATTACGCACCAGTGAGAATGCTGTGAGTGCAGATGAGGTATGTAATACTGGTGGCGAAAACCCCTGTCAGCATTCCTACAACTGATATAGTCCCACCAAGAAGTACAGTCTTTCTCTCCCCAAGCAGTTGCAGAATTATGTTCATCGATAGGAGAGCTGTTGACATACAGAACATGGTTGTGTCAAAATAGGGAAAATTAGTACACTGTACATATATATGTAATTTGTACGACCACAAGGGTCAGAATATGTTATCAGTAGAGATGATATACGAGAGGGATTATTTTTGTCCATGATATGAAAGTATCATTGTAACAATATATTTATGGCCATTTTGTATCAGTATTCTTCAGTATTCAAGAACACAAGGATGTCTTTCTTTACCACAATAGTTTACATTTGCACGTACTGTTTAATACTCACAACTTATACTGTACGTCCCTGCCATCACACCCATGAACAAGGTTGTTTTTGTGGCAGATGCCTCGAATTCTTCCAAGTATGCCACAAAGAATATGGCAACGGACCGTCCATATCCAGCCAGTAACATAACATTCAGGAAACTCCCTGGAGAAGGTCAAAATACAAAATGTGGTATCAGTGATTACCAAGGCGTGTTTTTTCATAATTTAATTGCTTTCAAAATGCAAGAAGCAGAAACACATTTAATCCAGAATTCTTAATCTTAAGATTCCATACCCTATAGAATGACAGAGTACTATATCTTATACTCTGTTATCTGGATGGATGTAGAAATATGCACAATCGATCACCTGCTAACACAAACCAAGCCCATCCACGATCTATAGGTACACCATCATCCTCTTGCTCTGGTTGACTGTCATCTGGTAGCTCGCCATTACTACCATCATGCAACATGTTCTGCTTCTCGGCATCTCCCACAGCTACAGTCCCACCTTCTTCTGTCACCGTTCCCAACAAACTGTCTTCCCCATCAACGGCCTCTCCCGTCTTCGGTATGAACAGTTTTCCGTTGTTTGTACTTGGTGTCATAGCTTGATGTTCGCTTCTGCTAGCTTCGTCCTCCCGACACGTTTTTGAATCTTGTGTCATTTTTACTCTGTCGATAGTATATCGGACCTATATAATTTATGAAACTGCATTTACACAATACCAATGTGACATTTTCCTAGAAAGTGAATGTGGCTGCTTGTAACTATCAGTGATTGTGTGAATGTAGTTTAAGGCTGCAAAAAACGAACAAACATTCCATATAAATAACTGTGAACAGTCAGTATGGACGGTATGGTGATTGAAAACACGAAGAACGATCCACGTCATCAAGTCTCGATGGTAAACAATCAACCAAGTAACAGAGCCTTTCCACCTGATCCCCATGTCAGTTTCTACCACAACACATAAGGTACTTTCACCTATTATGATCCGAAATCCGTACAAGCCTGTATGTTACACGAATATATAGCAACGCAAGTGTCCGAGACAATGCATACCTGTCATCTTCACCACGATGATATTGTGTAAACATTTACATACGTATCTATGCTTGTGTTTGGTCACAAATTATCTTCACAGAGTGGGTGAGTGAGTGAGTATGGCTTTACACCGCTTTTAGCCATATTCCAGCAATATCACGACGGGGGACAGCAGAAATTGGCTTCACGCATTGTACCCATGTCGGGAATCGAACCCGGGTCTTCGGATTGACGAGGAAACGCTTTAACCACTAGGCGACCCGACCAGACTGGAAATGTTGAAAACGCACGCACTTGAACTCTTTTGAGAGTGTCTTCCAAAACTGGATATCTGCTCACATGATTTGTTCACTTTATATATTGTGAGCATCGTTTATATAATTTACGTCGACTCCGTGCGTAGAGTAAAACGTTTCGTATTCATATTATTATTATTAACAAAGTAAATCATATTTAGTACTTAATTAACTCTTACATGCGCATTGTTTTATAGCATAGTAATATACGAGAGGATATTTTCTTTTCTACCAAACTCATGAAAACGACAAAATGTCACTGGTATAATCACAAACGGGTAAATTCCTGAGAAAGAACAAATTGCACGTCACAAGACGCCACGAATCTTTGTCTAGTATAACGGTACTTGATACAAATTTACCTTATATAACACGAAGCTCACCTGTATGTGTCGTCAAAAAGTCCTTTTTGTTCCGCCACGCCTCCACTGATGAAAGAGCTCTGACAACGCTGAGCAAGATGTCCAACGTGCTTTTTATAGGCAAACTGTTTGCCCTAGTGTCCGATAAGCCTTAGTGGAAATATTTGTGTGATGGAGATTAAGGTCGCGTTAAAGACTATTCACTCACATAGACTCCGATACAGTCCTTGTCCATAGGCATTGTAATACCGAGCGCCAGGCGAATGACGAAAATATATAGCCATTATTTTTTTCACGAACTGTAATTGAAATCAAATTCTGTCTATAATATCATAAGAAGAGCATCCAACTAAATACACATGCCTTACAATCTAACCATCATTCGCATTTGAAAGGCCATTTTTTAAAAAGGGTGCGTTCCCCATATAAGTTACCCTCCTTCCCGAAATTCGACGCCAATCCATACGTTGCCTTTGCAAATATTTAGTATACGGTTATATGACATTTTGGTCGGGCTTGCAATCATGATGAGTAGTTACTTCGGCCAATATTGATCCTATTGCAGTGAGTCAGTGAGTAAGTATGGTTAGCACGGGGAGTTTCGTGAATTTTGTCTGTAGGATACTTACATGCAGTCTAGCCACGTTGTCTCGAATACCAGTTGTGTGTATCTCACAGTATGGTACCTGCAAATTATATTTAATTACTATTTTAACCTGGATGTGTCGAATCCTGGTTAACATAATTCAAAGTCAAAAGAATTCAAAAGACATAAGTAATTACCACGATAAGATGTTTCATTACATCATACGTCATACGATTATATTGAAGGAACGAGGAGGCGGCAACTTCGTCACGGTAGCGTATACATGTCAAACAGCCATCGGTGACCAAGGGAGGGGTCGTGTGATGTCCGCGATGACTCTCACAATTATTTCTCTCACACAATCGACTGCAGGACGTCGACAAACACTCTCGTCAGGTTATATGACGTCGATAAACGAGCGTTTTAGATGTAAATATTAACTCATTTCTTGCAGCCTTAAGACTGTTTCAGAGTTGTTCACACACATTTGTAATATTGAATGTGATCTATAGATAAAGGTAAGAGAGAAAACAGTTTCAGTGCCATTCATAGTCAAGTAATATTGTTAAAATTTATCGCCGTTACTATTCTGTTGTAATTGTTTCAGGGCCATTCATTTCTATATTATAACATTTCATCTGCATCTCTGAATTTCTGAATAAAACGATCACAACCCCACAGCGAGTCATGTTTCACCCTTGGCGCTGAACCAGCTGTAACACATGCATACTGATAAATCAAATAAATTTGAGTGAGTGAGTGAGTGAGTTGGGTTTTTACGCCCTTTTAACAGTATTCCAGTTGTATCGCGGCGTGTCAGCTTAATGTGGGAGGAAAGCCCGAAGTGATGCAGGTCTCAGACCTTTACCACTTCGGTGAAACCCACGAGCACGGGTATGGTGTTGACAAACCTAGAAACAAAATTGGGGCAAACCGGGATTCGAACCCACAATCATAGGTTTCTGGCGTGCCCAAGGGACGAAACTCTGCACAGCGAATCGCTGCGCCTTAGACGACTGGGCCACCCGTGCCCCCCAAATAAATTTGAAAGGTTGTTTGGCCCTCTAGAATACACACATGTGTCCTGTATGCGCACTGTCTAGAACTCTTCGATTTGGCCTTGAAACACATTAGGTAGATACTTTACTTCAAAATCAATAATGTGTGTCTGTCAAACAAACTTTGACGGCAACATAAACAAAATAGATCTTGATAAATAAACTTAAAGTATTAACCTCATTGCGATGATCAGACTTTATTTGTGTTGCGTGTCCCTGCATACTGATTAATAGAGTTTCTTTGTTTACACCCACACTGTACGTCTGTACTAGGAACAGTAAAACATCCCTTTAGAGAAAGGTTTCAATCCACGTATATTGTTGTGTCTGTTTAGTCACTATACCGATAATCAGTACAAGTATCAAATTAAATATGCGTTTGTTTTTTCCCCATAAATATAACGAACTTCGTATATGTTATAGTTCATGAACGTGAATATAGAAACAGACTGTTGTATCTACCCATTTACGAATTCGAATATCAATCGAATAAAAACAGTTGTAAAAGCTTTAAACGAAATCGATATCAAATCTTAGAAGCCAACATTGAATGCCAAAATTCCAACCAGAGCTATATACTTCCAGCTGTCAAAACAAATAAGCAACTACCATTGCAACCGATGATAGTCGAGTACCTACACATCAAACTGCCATTTACTACAGTTCTTTATTCTTTTCATAACCAACTTGTCCCGTCTTCAAATCTAAACTTGCAAAAGAATGATCAAAGTTCCATGACAAAACACAACAAAATATACACATTCGTTTCTACCA